ATAAAAAAAAAAAATAATAGCACAAAATTTCCCAAACATGGGGAAATTCTTATGTGCAGACAAGTGAGGCATATAGGATGCCAAACAGTCATAAGCAATATAAATCTATATACAAACATATGATAATTAAGTTGCCAGATATACACCATAAAAACAAAATACCAAAAGTTGTTAGAGAAAAGACACAACTCACTTATCAAGGAAAGCCCCTTAGAATCACAGCAGACTTTTCAGCACAAACACTGAAGTCAATATGAGCTTGGAGTGAGGTACTTCAAGCCCTGAAAAAAGACAACTTTCAACCCAGACTGATGTTCCCAGTAAAACGTTCATTCAAATTTAATGGAGAAACAAAGTACTTCCATGACAAAGAACAACTGAAGAAATCCATGTCCACCAAACCAACTCTAGAAAGAGTATTGAAAGATATACTAGTAGGGATAAAAATGACCACAATCTCCAGAACAACAACACAAAGAAACCATCAGGTAGGACAAGCAATTAAACAAGGGGGGAAAGCAGAAAGAAAACTACTGGACCATAACATAGCAAAGTCGACCCAGTACATATCAGGAATATCCATAAATATCAATGGTCTCAATTCATCTATCAAAAGAAATAGGTTGACAGAATGGATCAAGAAGCAGAATCCACAATAGGGTATATACAAGAAGCATGTCTTACCCATATGGCAACTCACAGATTTAAAAGTCAAGGGATGGAAAACTGTATTCCATGCAAAAAGAAACCAAAAAAAGCAGGGGCAACTATTCTATTTGCAGACAACATGAAGTTCAAACCTAAAATGCTTAGAAGAGATAAAGAAGGTCACTACATACTCATTAGTAGAAAAATTCAAGAGGAACAAGTAACAATTTTAAATATATATGCATCACACACTATCACAAAGAGATAGATCAACTAGACAAAAAGCCAGCAAAGAAATAAAGGAAGTGAATCATAACTACAAGCAATTGAATTTAGTAGATGTTTACAGAGTGTTCCACCCAACCTCATCCGAATATACATTCTTCTCAGCTGTGCATGGGACAGTCTCCAAAATAGACCATATATTATCCCATAAAACATTCTTAAGTAAATGAAAAGCTATTGCAATTTTTGCATGCATAATATCTGACCGTAGTACAATTAAATTGGAAATTATTGACAAACAGAATTGTAAAATCTGCATAAATACATGGAAATTAAACAACAACCTTCTGAGCAACCATTGGAATACAGATGAAATTAAAGAAGAAATAAAGCAGTACCTGCAATTCGATTCAATGACAATGAGAAAACAACATAGTGTAACATGTGGGATGCAATGAAAGTGGTCTTAGAAGATAAATAAAGGGCAATAAATTGTCATATCAAGAAAACAGAATGAGCACAAATAAACAATTTAAAGCTTCATCTCAAGCTTCTAGAAAAAGAAGAGCAAGTTAAACCCAAAGCTCATAGAAGAGAGGAAATTGTAAAGATTAGAGCAGAAATCAATGCAATTGAATGTAAAAAGCAATACGAAGAATTAAAAAGCTGATTTTTGAGAAAATAAACAAAATTGGCAAACCTCTAGCTAACTTTATCAAGAAAAAGAACAAAAAAAAACCACAAATTCATGCAATAAGGACTGAAAAGACGGAAATTACTACAGATCCCATGGAAATACTAAGATCATGAATATCTACTTTGAAAATCTCTACTCACATACAGTGGAAAACACAGAGGAAATGGAACATTTCTAGAAACATATGAACTACTAAAGCTCAACCAAGAAGATTTAGCAATTTTTAATAACCAACATCAGCTATTGAAACAGAAAACGTAATTAAAAACTTGCCAATAAAAAAAGCACAGATCCTGATGGAAACATGGCTGAATTCTATAGGAAAGTTAGAGAAGATTTGCTGACCAAACTCCTTAAACTCTTTAATGAAATTGAAAAGGAAGAAATTCTCCCTAAATCATTCCTGGAGGCAAAGTCATTACTCTGATACCAAAATGAGAGAAAGACCCAAGCAAAAAGGAGAAGTATATGTGAATCTCTCTAATGATCATTGATGCAAAGATTCTCAATAAAATACTGGCAAATAGAATGCAGTAAATCATCAAGAAAATTATACATCATGACCAAATAGGATTCATTCCAGGAATGCAGGGATAGTTTAACATATGCAAATCAATAAATGTAATACACCACATCAACAGAGTCAAAGACCAAAACCACGTGGTCATCTCAATAGGTGCAGAAAAAGATTTTGATAAAGTCCAACACATGTTCATGATAAAAAAAAAAACCTTCAGAAACTCGGAATACATAATGTCTATCTCAATTTTATAAAGATAATCTATGACAAACCAACAGCCAACATTATACTAAATGGACAAACACTGAAAGCGTTCACTTTTAAATCAGGAACAAGGCAAGGTGTCCACTACCATCACTCTTACTCAATGTAGTTCTGGAAATACTAGCTGGGGCAATTAGACAATAGAGAATATAAAAGAAATAATAATAGGAAAGGGAGAACTTAAATTATTACTATTTGCAAATGACATGATACTTTATATAGAAGACCCCCAAACTCCGTTAAAGACTACTAGAGGTAATAAACAAATTCAACAATGTAGCTGAATGCAAAGTCAGTGCTCAAATGTCTATTAGCAATCCTGTGCACAAACCAAAAAAAACAAAAACAAAAAAAAACTCTCTGAGAGAGAAATTATGGAAATATCACCTTTTACAATAGCATCTAAAAATGAAATAATTAGGAATTAACCTAAGAATGTAAAAGACCTATATGCTGAATATTATGCTAAAAAAGAGATTGAAGTGTATATTAGAAAATGGAAAAATATTCCTTGCTCTTGGCTAGGAAAACCCAACATTGTGAAAATGGCCATACTCCCAAAACTTATACAGTTTTAATGCAATCCCAATCAAAATACCATTAACATATCTCGCAGTTCCACAGAAAGCACACCTATAATTCATTTGCAAACAGAAAAAACCTAGAATAGCAAAAGCAATTCTGGGCAACGAAGGCAAGGCAGGAAGCATCTCAATTCTCAACTTGAAACTATACTATAAAGCCATAGGAATAAAATCAGCATGGTACTGGCAAAGAAATATACCTGAGGATCAATGGAACAGGTTACAAGATTTCAAGCACAACTGCAAACACACTCAGCTCCACCTGACATTTGACAAAGGGGCTACACATGTTCACTGGAAGAAGGATAGTGTCCTTAATAAATGGTGTTGGAAAAATTGGCTCTCCACATCCTGAAGACTGAACCTAGAGCCATACCTATCACCATACACTAAACTAATGTCTAAATGGATCAAAGACCTAAATTTTAAAACAGAAACATTAAATCTACTAGAAGACAAGGTAGGTATCAGTCTTGGAAGCATAAGAGTAGGCAAAGAATTCATAAACAAAACTCGAACTGCATGCAAAACACTTAAAAAAATCAAAAACTGAGATCTCATTTCTGAGTGATTACTGCACTTCAAAAGAAATCACCAACAGAGTGAAAAAAACCCACATAATGGGGAAAGAATTTTAGCTGACACCCCCTCAGACAAAGGACTTATATCCAGAACATATAAAGAATTGGAAAACATCAAGCCTCCCAAATTCAAAAACTGTCTCCAAAAATGGGCATTTGAGATGGTATTTTTCAGATGAAGATATACAAGTGGAAAATAAATACATGAAGAAATTTTCACCATCACCGGTCATTCAAGAAATGCAAATTAAAACAGCACTGAGATTTCATCTCACTCTGCCATCAAGAATTCCACTGATAAGAAATGTTGGTGAGGGTATGGGGAAAAAGGAACACTGCTCCTATGTTTTTGGGAGTCTAGACTGGAGCAGCCACAATGGAAATCAGTATGGAGGTTTCTCAGAAGACTAGAATTGGAAGTTCCATTCAATCCAGCTAGACTCCTCCTGGGTATTTTCCCAGAAAAACTAAAAATATCATGTCACAGTGATATATATGTCCCCATGTTCACAGCAGCACAATTTATAATAGCTAAATGTTAGAAACAACCAAGATACCAATCAACCACAGAATGGATGAAAAACATGTAGTATTTTCATTCAATGGATTGTTACTCAACTATAAAAAAGGCTATTCTTGAGGCCTTCATAGGTATATGGAGACAACTTGAGGGTATCCTCATTAATGAAATAAACAAAAATCATATTTATAAATATCACATTGTGTCTCTAGTGTAAAAAGAAATAAGAACAGTATGAGTGATAAAACCCAAAATGTGTAACTGCTATTGTAAAAAAGAGAGGGAAAAAGTTCCCTAAAGGATATAACTGCACATTTGTTTAAGTGTGTAGGATTGATAACCATATTACTAATTTATTTGAGATGGTTGAATAGAAGTCTTTGCAGTTTCACTGTCTGAATATTTTGTTTTATCTTTTTTCTTGAAGTCTAGTCCACAGCAGGCGGTATCTGTTTCCCCAACATTTGCAAGGTATCTGTCTTTTTACACTGTCTCTTTCAAGGGCCTAGCCCTATCTGAATTTTTCTAATATTTTATCTAACTGAGCTTCCTATAACAATATCATCAAAAATCGAATTGACTGTAATATTATCTATAATCTGAGGAGTAATACAAAAGAAGACACCATGGGAAGATAAAATGGACCTAGCCAATGCAATGAGATGTTACTACAATGGGAACTCAAAAGAAAATCAACTGTGAGACAGGGGGTGAGCTAAAAGGAGATGCTACTGAGGTAAAGTTAGTATTTTCTTGTAATACAGAGGAAAGTGAGACTGTTCCCCCCACACACAGGCCAAGCCATGGGGAACACAGGATTGGAGAACGGAAAGGATGTGGGCTAAGGTCATCTGCCTGTGGGAGGGGCCTGGGATGCAATCTCAGGGCCCAGCCCTCACCGGTGTCCTTTTATTTCAGTGTACAGAGGTATCTGGCTTTGCTGCGCTGGCTACATAAAGGTCTAGTTGGGGCTGAGTGATCTTCTGTAGGGGAAAGGGACAGAAAATGGAGACTGAGTCCTGCTTGTGGCCTCTTTTTACTGACTTTGCAGCTGACTATAGTCAACATATAAGAGATGATAAAGGAAATCCACTGGGAGGATAAATGAAAGACTTAGAGCAGGGATCTCCTAAGCCTCAGCCAGGAGTATCCTGAGTGTGCTCCAGAGACTATGCATCCAGAGGGAAGAGGACCCACAGCCCAGGAACCTGCAATCAGCTAGCATCAGTGTCAAGATACAGGTAAAGCTTCTTCCTACCGAGGACTCTGAGGGGAAGTCCAGGGCTTCAGGCCTGGGGCATGCGTAAGATATAACCTGCTCTACTGTATGTCTGTTGCCTGTGTGTAACCCACAGCACCAACTTCACACTCAGATATGCCCCATTTTGAATGATAAATTGTATGCTCCCCCTCAATACAAGGTTATACATCTCCAAAGTTTCTTTCTATCTTTGCGGCAGCACTTTGAAGAATAGCTCATAACTTTATAACATGAAAGAAATTTTTTGACTCAGTCACACTGGACCATGCAACATACATGGTCCTGTGATTTTTTCCTTCCTGAGTCCCAAGGTGTTCCTACATAGAAACAGACATACTGACAAAATGTTAAAAAGTGCAAGGTCTTTATCAACAGAATAATAAATGAAAGATTGAATGGATAAATAGGCATGTAACAAACAGATATATTCAAATAGCCTAGCACAGAATTTCCTATTTATTTTTGAACTGAGTACATATGATTTACATGTTTTATTATTAAGAAATCCAGAGCATTTATCATAAGGTTTTCCTATATAAGCCCTTGCCAACTGTTAACATATTGTAGCCCTAAGAAACCAGGGTTCTTTCCACACAACACCCAGGGCATGGAAAGATCATTCCCAGTCTGCTTTTGACTTTCATCCTCTTTCCACCCTACATCTTCAGTGGGAGCTCACGCTCACACAAGCAACTACCTTCCCTAAACAAGCCTAACGCTCTGTCCTTAATGCAGAGTTCCCATTGGCTTTTGCTTCTGCTGTCTATTGTTTCAGACCTTTTTTTCCCTTCCCAACTTTCCTATGGTGTTCAGATTTGGTATCCTCTGGAAGACGGGAGTTCATTAACAACCTCACAAAAGCCCTTCCTCTATAGAAGTCTGTTCCAATTAAAGATGGAAGTCATGTTTTAGTGCATAGAAAAAACACAACCCAGAAAAGATGTAGGGTTCATTATGCAGCCATACCAGGTCCATCCTGTGGCTATATTTGTCACATGCTTGGGTCCAGAGCCACATTTTTTCAGCATGTCCCAAAAAACATTGCTTGACTTATCCTTGTTTCTATTGACTATTTTGATGAGTAGGGTTAATTTTCTGCACAGACTAGAAGTAATCTCTACAGCAGCTACACATCCTTGCCTGAATAGGAAGGAAGGGCTGCTCAGAGCCTGAGGAGAGGGGGAGGTACTGAGTTTTTGTAAGGACAGGAAATGTCTATGTGATGCTGTGGCTAAACTGCTGGCACAGAGATAGATGGCAGAGTCTCCTAGCTGCACCGGCTGGATATTCAGATTGGAGTATGATCCTTCGGGTTTTTCTACAGAGAATCGATCTTGGAAAAAGTCTGCCTTTTCTGTGTTGTCCTCATCATAAATATAAACAATGAACTCCATTCCTTTTTCTGCAGTCTGTTGGTACCAATAGACATACGGGTGACCAGAAATAGGGTCACACCACAGAGTCACAGGCTGTCCCACCTCAGTGATCTTGTGGCTAGGCGTTTGCTTGACCCCTGGTGCCATGTGTCCTGTGGAGACAGACAGCAAAAAGAGAATGAGATGCAGGATTGGAAGCATCCGCAGGGAAAGGAAGGATAGGAAAATGTAAGCACTCCCAGTACTCACCTGCCCCCAGGAGACCAAAGATCACCCAGCAGGGGAGGATACTGTCCATGGTAGGATCTCTCCGGTATGAGGTCTGTCCCAGTTGGGACTCTGATTGTTTGCAGTGCAAAGAAAAAGATCTGGTGATGTCATAGCTTGTGGTGTGCCCATAGACTCAGGGGTGCACCGTGAAAACAGGCATGAGATGCCCCAAGGCTGGACCCAGAATGTCCTGCCCAGATTTTCCTGTCCTGTGCAGCTTACATTAAACAGTGTCACTGATTTGCTCTCCCTAATAACAGTGTTCAGAACAGCAAGCCAGTGTATAAGAGCTGAATGGAATAGTAGGATCCACTCTCTTTTCTTATAGCCAGTGAAAATCTCATTGGAGAAGCTCTCAGGCACAGACTATTTAGAGTCTGAGTAATACTGAGACAAAAGTAGGTAGCTGACTGCACTAACCTCAGTGTACAGAGATAATTCAGTGAGGATATAAGCCCAAAATCCACAGTGACATTTCATATATAGGAAGTAAGTGTGGACAGAATGTGACATCCAACGAAATAGACAGGAGCAGACAGAGCCACACTCTTAGCATCCCCGGGTTCAGAGAGGCATCTGTACAGACATGGCACTTTGATCAAGGTTGGAGCTCAAGTTTTAGTTTTACATAAAAAAAGAAAAATTAGAGAACAGCAAACTCAGAATAATGGAAAAAATGAGCTGAAGCTGGGTCAGGGCAAATCCCCTTCCCACACAACTTGCTTTCATATTAACTGTACTTCTGCTCTAACCAGACACATATTTTCCATTTTCCCTAATCCTTAGCTGCTTCACCATCCATTGCCTATACAGGGATGGAGAACTTTCTGTCTTGAGCACACTGAGACCCATGGCACCCTCACCTTCCCAGACAATGACTCTTTGTTTACCTCCACTTGTCTAAATCCCATCCAGTAAATTCAAGCCACTTTTCTGATTCAAGCAGGCAGTCTGGCATGCTTCAGTCCTGCTCTCCCAGCCACTGCCACCACTCACAAACACACACACACACACACACACACACACACACACACATAGGCGCGTGCACTCACACACACACACAGGCGCACGCACTCACATACACACAGACACACACAGACACACACACACAGCAGGGTTCCCCGAAAAACTGGGAAACCACAGTGCTCCCCTGTGGCCAGTGCCCCATATTTCCCTTGAATCTCACCTTTTGGGACCATGTGCTTATGATTTAACTGAACCTAGCAGGGGATCCTGAGCCCTTCATCCCTTCACCACACACCCATTCTTACCCATTGCCAAACTCATCAGGTTAAGTTTAATTTTTCAAATCCATGTTTTGAATTTGAAAGACTAAGACAAAAAATATGCATTTGTAAAAAAAATGTTACATATAAAAAGAAAACAAATTCTGTGCCATTGAATTTAGTATATTAAATTCACAGTGAATCAGAATAACAGGTCATAAAAATAAATAATAGGGCATCTGCAAGATGGTCCATCCTGGAAAAACTTCACTCCAGAGCTGCTCTCCCTTAGACCCATATCTTTTCATATTTTGCATTTGATTAATGTCAAATTTTAGATAGTGAGCTTCATAAAGATTGTTTCCAGATTTTACATGTTTATCTCCATATGTTTATAACTGGGAATAAACAATCTGGAATAGTTTAGATCTAAATCTCCCCCTAAACTCTCATGTGGTCAGAGGCAGATCATGGTTAAAAGAAGCTGGTGAAATCAGGTGGGAAAGTATATTCTTGTCTCTGGCTTCTCCCTCCTTTTCTCATTTCCTGAATTCCCTGGGGCAAGCAGTTTTGCCCTTTCTACTATTTCTACCATATTTTACTGCCTTGGAACCAGCCAACTTTATCCTAAATCTACTGGAAATGGTGAGCCAAATAAATTTCTACTTTAAATTGTGGGTGTCATAAATAATGGCTTCTAATTGCCAAAAAGGTTAAGACCCTGTTATTGAGCATAACTATTTTTCTGCAGTTCTTAAATTAATTTCTGAAGAAACTTGCTAATGTTTCCAGCTCTGATAAGTCCCTAATTATGGGGCTGTGGAACAGCATAGATGTGCTGAGAACTTCATTGTGACACGACTACACGCATACTTGAATATTGCTATAATATTTGCACTGTTACATGTCCTAGCTTAGACACAATTAGAGACTTTTCAGTCTTGGAAATTGAACATGATTATGAAAATACAGTTTTTCTCAGTATTAGAAAACTGTCATGGATATAAAATTGAGAAGACTACTAAAGATTTTCTATTACATTTCAGGAGAGAGTAATTACTGACAAAAGGAATACAGTGAGGAATATTATTCCAGGACTATATAAGTGAGTACTAACTTGTGTCAAGTATATACATGACATTTTTTAGGAACATGTGGTAAATAGAGCGATACTATCTAAAATTGGAAATGACAGAGTAAAAATGAGGAGAAAGGCAGCAAAGAGCCAGAGAAGCAGTGAGTGCTGGGACTGCAGAGATCCTTCTATGCCTGGAAGGGGCAAGTGCAGGAGGCAGAATGCAAAAGTTGCTGAGTTTTAAGAGAGATTGGGAAGGGCTGTCTAGAATATGGGTGGTCAGAGGAAGAATGATACCCTTGAAAAGAAGAATGGATCTTGGGAAAGTTGGAAAGTCTTTGTCATGCATGGTTAGGCTAAATTGCCTTCCCCTGTGTTTTGCTAAGTACCTGACTGTTCCCTGAGGAGAACACACTGCAGCCAGAAGTGAAGAAATATTTCATAATTAACTCCAGGTTTCTCACTTCAGGCAACTGGTTATCTGGTGATGTCCCCTACTGAGACTGGCTGCTATGTGATGTCAATATCTACAAGGCTTTATTCTATAGTTTTGAGGTACTGAGGCTCTTGGAAGGAGAAGAGAGTCTGTGATGCATAGAACACTACCTTAGGCCACCTTGCAAATCTATCTCTATTTTAAGCCATCCCTTCTCAGTTCTCTCTTCTTGATCTTCCTCAAATCTCAATTCACTCTCCTCCAACTATACAACGCCAACCTCTGTGATGTTACTAACATCACTACACTATTATTATAGCAGTTTATTTTAAAATAAAAATTTCTATACAGGAAATAAGCGCTCTTCCATTACATGCTCCTCTCTTAGTACCACCTCTTGGTACACGGTTAGACAAAGTGTTTTTGGAGAGAACTTACTGAAGTAACACATGGCTACTCAGTCTTATTTTCCTTCTCCTACTGATAGAAAGTGTTAGAATTTCTAGAGACTGACACCATTTTTCTTTCTTTCTGTAACCTCACAAGCTAGGATTCTTTCTTTCTTTCTTTCTTTCTTTCTTTCTTCTTTCTTTCTTTCTTTCTTTCTTTTCTTTCTTTCTTTTTCTTTCTTTCTTTTCTTTCTTTCTTTGTTTCTTTCTTTCCTTCCTTCTTTCTTTCTTTCTTTATTTCCTTCCTTCTTTCCTTCTTCCTTTCTTTCTTTTTTCTTTCTTCCTCACCCTATCACTCCTATTCATAGTCTCTATCTCTGTCTCTACATCTTTCTCTCTCTCTCTCCCTCTTTTTCTCCCTCCCTTTTTTGCCTATAGGTTGAAGCCATGGCATTCATACTGAGCTGTAGCCATATTTTTTTATTTCGAAGAAGTTTTCCCCTGATCTGTCCAATCTGGGTTTCTGTTTGTGAACTTTTTGCCTCAGCAGCCCTACAGAACTGGGATTACACACATGAACCACAACACCTGGATGGTGCCTAGGTTTTCAGATCACGGTCAGATTTGAGGTGTACACACTGATATTCTGCAGTGCTGTCCTGTTTCCAGGCAGAGAGATACACAGCTGAGACCTCAAATCCAAGGTGCTTATTTTCAACTCAGAGACAGGGTCATGGAACTGAGCTGAGAATGGAATAGAGATGTTTCCTTTTGTTCCCTGCAATTCATTGTAATATTGAAAGAGGACCTGAGGAGCTGCCCCATGCCCCAGTGGTACCAGGACACACTCTTGTGCCTAGGCATAGGGGACCATTGTAGTGTCACTTGCTATCATTTTGTTTTGATCCTGTATTTTGGGGTTTGGATAACTCAAATCTCCACTGGACCTGTGGAGAAAGCAGATAAAGAATAACCCCAGTAGCTACCCTGAGGTATATTCTCAAGAGGTGTGGATGATTCGGAAGATAGTAAGTCCAGAATGTGGATGTAGTCCTTGTTTACAGGACTTACCAGTTCTCAGGAGAAAAACAGCCACATAGCAGAAAAATCTATAGCTCATGCAGGACAGGACAGATGTAAGCCACTGTAACACTGCTCAGGGTTCTGGTCCACTGAAGGATGGAGTTGTGAACCTCAGTTCTTTGACTGGATGTAAGAATGTGATGTTATGTTTCTGATGTCATGGTGCCTACAGATTGCCATGAAATCTACTTTTCTTACCATGTGTCTGGCCTCAGCTAATCCAAAACACCTGTTTGGTTTATTCTTCACATAATAACACAGTATAGAACTACACTAGAGGGTTCCAGGATGGGCTGGGTTTGGACCTTGTGTCTATGCCACAATTCCCTTCCTTCTTCTTGGAAGCAGATGTTTCTCTGTCACTACTCAGAGCATGCAGACCTTCCCAGGCTAGCACCAAACCTTTCCTTGTCACTTTGAATCTCTAAAATTTTATTAACCATTGAATAGCTGCACTTTCTGACTTACTGCCATAGAAAAACACCATGAATTCCTATATGTGTGATCAAATGTATTAGTGGATGAAAGTGTGAAGTAGCATTCTTCTTGAACCTTCTATATCTTTGGTTGCCATCTCTGCAGGCTACTCACTCACAGACAATGAAAGGCCCATAGTATTACAGTGCCCCATCCTTTGTGCCAGTAGCTAATAAGATTTTGCATGTTAGGGATTAGTGTTCCATGTCCCTCTACAACTTACTTTGAAATCTAGCAAGCTTCCTGTATTTGGAAATAGGGCATTTATGCACGAAATTGAAGCTAAATGTATTTTAGCTTTTTCATGACTGGAGCAAAATATTCAACATCTATAACTTAAAGAAAGAACACTTTATTTTGGTTCACAGCATCAGAGATTTTGGTTCATGGTAGCTGAGTCCAAAGCAGTGGGACTGAATTTATACCAAATCATAGAATTCAATTTGGACCAATCAGTGGACTTATATTTGAACCAATCACAGGTCTATTGCTCCGATATAAACAGTTCCCTTTTCACACTTTTCACGTTGGAACCTGAAGTTCTGTAGCAGTGGCATTTTTCAGATAAAACCTTCCAATGGTGGTGCTTCAAATTTATTTGTGATTTAGTTGTCAGGTAGCATGGTCTTGGATGTCTTATAAATCTACTCAGGATTTTTAGTCTAATACAGTTTAGGTCACATGGTTGAGTTAGAAAAGAGCTACAAGTGTAAATAATAGAGGCTGATAGCCCTGAAGAACTCAAGAGAGTGTCCGTAGAAATCAGGAGAAACCATCAGCAGAGACCAGTATGGGGACAACCAGCATTGGCTAGTGGTAGTATCTGGCATTGGCAGTAGGAGCCAGTGTTGACCAGTGGTTATCAATTGTTTCATCTGGCAGTTGTAGAGTCCATCTGTGACACTTGGTGACCTAGAGTCCAGAGCTTTAACACTAATGGCTGAGAGGTACTGGGATTCAAAATCCAGAGGAGCTAACAGAGCTGCATCTACCAGTTTATGATTTCTGTCTACATAGCACAAAAGAGCCCTGGACGGGATTGCAGCACACTAACCCAATCCTGTCACCTGGCCACAAATTAGTACTTCCTTGGTTGTCTCACAGAATGAATCCTGTGATGTACTGATTTCCTTCATAGCATCTGAAAAAATCTTGATATTACTGCCCATTATTTATGTAAGTAAAAACATAGGTTTTTCCTATTTTCCTCCTTTCTTTATCTCTTACAACCTCTTTTAG